ATCCGCTTGGAGAAATCAAGCTGAATTACCAAAAATTCCTGATTACTTCACAATTGTATAATATAATTAACATCTCAATTTAACAAATTACATGAAATGCATGCATGCCTTTTTTTTATTCTTAGCTCTGTTACAGTTTTACTTGAAATAATTAATCCATATTTTGCTATTTTTAAAAATTCATTTTAAACAATATCCTGATTATAATGTCAGTAAAGAAATAAATATTATAACAACAAGGTAAATAAAATTATGTTTAACAATTTAAAATATACTGGTTGATCACTAAAGTAATGCATAAACAATCTGAAAATATACAAGGAAAATGCTTAACATATATAAGGAAAATAAATACTTAATGAAACGATTGAAGTAAATTATAACAATGATAAAATCTCGCAGCTCCTTAAAACACATGATAAAATTATGCAAAAATATTTCAACACCACCACATGGACCGAAACCTATTAAATTCACATCATAAGCAATTCCATCGATAAAATAAAATAAAAAAAAACTAAGCAACAGAAAAAAGACATTCCATTCAGATCAATGAAAAAAGAATATATTTTTCAAAAATTCTCTTCTATCAAAAAAATAAATAACCAATCCTTACTAAAACTCTTTCGAGTGAATCAATAAATTGAATATGCATATATCAAATTTTTTCCAATATAATTACAGTATCTCAGAAGAAACATTGGCGATCAGACTCGAAGTAACATCATTGGGAATATTTCCGTTATGTTTCCGATCTTGATTAATTTGTTGGAATGGGTTCATTGGATCGTCGACCAGGGTTGGAAGAACAGAGCATAACGGCCCCGGGGGGCAGCCCCGCAGTCAAGGGCGTTACCTCTTCCAATAGAGTTCATGGGAGAAGAAGGCCACTCATCCTTTGAGAAAGTGGATGTAGGCTATCAGACAATGTTGGCACTCGGCTCGATTTTTTTACCGAACAATGCATCATTTCCTTTTTGGAATAAAAAGTTATCTTACTTTGTGCGTGACAATGTGAAATGTAACGTTTAGAATTAATGATGGTAGGTGATTTTATCTGAATAATACCAAGAGGTTTGAAAGTTGGAAAAGTTTTACCTTTGAAAGGTTTTTTATGAAAATTTCTTAGGTTAAAAAATGAACACTCAGTTCTAATTTTTTTAAATCAAAGTTTTTATTTTTAGTGTATTTTTTTTCAAAAGACGCCTATGTTTCAATTCCTACTATTAGTTCCCTCTCTCCCAATATTTATTTATATCCCAATATTTATTTATATATATATATATATATATATATATATATATATATATATATATATATATATATATATATACAGTAGAACGTCGTTTATCCGAATCAATTTGAAGCGGATACCGTTCGAAAATGCGATTGTTCGGTTACCGAAAACCGAATGCGATCCATGTAGTACAAGGTGATCAGAATTAAAACATCCCTACTCTGAGCTCTCTATACATCAAACTACTCAGTGTAGAGGCTCAAAAATTGTTGAACATACTATTCAAAACATGGGGAAACGGATTACGTGAAAAAATAGTTCCAGAAACACCGATAGATGGCGCTGTACACCAGATAATCTGTAAAAAGGAAAGAATTATCACAAAAAACAAAAACAAAACACATGCAATATGTAATTTTTCTTTTTGATTTCTATTGCTGATATGAAAAATAGACGATAAAAGAAGTCAAGAAACTTTTAAACTGTCATTGTAATTGAAATTTCGCCCTGAAAGCACAAAAATTTGCATAAACCTTTGGTTTGCAGCTTGTTCTTGGCATAAAAAGGGATGAAACTGGGAAAATGTCATTCTTATCATTGATTGCTGTCATGCTGCCAGAACGCGTTTTGCTTCTGAAGCTGTTTTATGAAAGCAAAGGAAATGCTGCAGCTGCACTTCGGGAGTTTCGTCGACTTAAAAATTTACGCAAAGGACCATTTCTTCCACAAGCTCTAAAGAGAATGATCGCTCGATTCGAGAAAACTGGACATCTTGGTATTCAGCCGGGTCGAAGACGCAAATCGACCCGTTCAGATGTGGTTGAAGATGTTGCCACCGCTATTGTTGATCAATCAATGGAGATAACGTCATAGGCTGTAGTAGTGCCCGTGCTGTATCACGACACTTGGGTGTTCTCTACAGCACAGTGTGGAATGTACTGAGAAAAGTGGTGCATTTTTTCCCGTACAAAATTCGTCACCATCAGCAGTTGATGGCCAACGACAGGGAGAAGCGACTGCCCTTTGCATTGACATTCCTGGCTAGAGTTGAAGTGGATGCATCATGGTCGTGGAAAATTCTATGGAGTGGCGAAGCGCATTTCCATCTAAGTGGAACAGTCAATACCCATAACTGTCGCATTTGGGACACGGAAAACCCTCGCACCTTCCAAGAGATTCCACTTCACTCACAGAAAGTTACAGTCTGGTGTGGATTCACAGCCACATTCATTCTTGGACCTTTCTTTTTCAAAGAGACTACTCGCAATGGCCCTGTGACCTGCACCGTGACGGCCAGGAGGTACAAAAACATGCTTGGAAATTTTGTTGCACCCCAAATGCTACAACACCAATGTCTTGATTCAATTACCTTCATGTAAGATGGAGCGCCTCCACACATTGGATCTGTGTGCAGCAGTTTCTTCGGCAACATTTTACTAATGATAGAGTGATTAGTCATGCGCTTCCGACAGCATGGCCACCTCGTTCTCCAGATCTTAATCCCTGTGACTTTTGGCTGTGGGGATATTTAAAAAATCTTGTTTATCGAGGACGTCGGATAACTTTGGTAGATTTGAAGGACAGTATCACTCTGCATGTGAGAAGCATCTCTGTCGACCAATTAAGATCAGCAGTTGAACAAACTCTCCACAGACTGCAAATTTTACATCTTGAAGAAGGGAACCATATGGAGCAGCATTCCCTGCATCGATAAGATATGAATGTTTGGTGCGATCGAATAAAATGTGTTACAAATGTGTATTTTGTGTCTTTTTAGTATATTTTCTGTTACACAGCGTCATCTATCGGTGTTTCTGGAACTATTTTTTTTCGCTAAATCCTTTCCCCCGTGTCTTGAATAGTATGTTCAACAATTTTGGAGCCTCTACACTGAGTAGTTCGATGTATAGAGAGCTCAGAGTAGGGGTGTTTTAATTCTGATCACCTTGTATATAAAACGGGACATTATACGAATATTGAAAATCATTCCATGCGGGAAACAAGCTTAAAAGAAGCAACATAGGTGCAAAATGTCACAATTTTGTCTTTATTGTGGGAAATATTTCTTCGCTGTACCATTGTACACCTTCGTGTTTTCACTGCAAGGTCTCTGATTCTCTTCAGCAGCAGTAGTTGAGTTGGACAACTCTGTCATGGTTGTTTGCGACTCTCCATAGCTGCCTTTAACGCAGAAAATGAGTCAGCATTTGATGGACCTTTGCTACTTTCGTTGATGTTGTTGTTCTCACCTTCATCCGTTTCATCGTCGACAGGGTCGGATTTTTCTTGCACAGAAGTCGTAATCTCGTCATCATTTAGCATTTGAAATCCACAATCTTCTGCAACGCGTACCATTCAGGTTACTACATCTTCTTCATCACATTCTTGAAATCTTGGGATCGATTGTACAAAGTCAGTAATCTTCCCTCTGTGGTCGTCAATGATGTCTTTTTCGCCTACTAAATCTGACCACAGCTTATGCCATGCATTTTTCAGGCTTTGTCTATCGAGCTGGTTCGGTTAACACTGGTTCTGATATTTGACGCTCCGATTACTAAACGCTCGGATAAACGACGTTCTACTGTATATATAATGGGTGTTTTTTTCAGAGATATAGAACTTGAAATTGCAATAAAACAACGATGTATTATTCGATTGACATGAATTTTTTTTATTCGAAAGATAATCTTGTGGCATTACATTTTAAATATGATTTCTGGCATAGGACTGCCACGGCTGGCTCGGATGTAGTCCAATCTGGACGTCCAATTTTCGATGACTTTTTTTAACATTTGTGGCCGTATATCGGCAATAACACGGCGAATGTTGTCTTTCAAATGGTCAAGCGTTTGTGGCTTATCCGCATAGACCAATAACTTTCCATAGCCCCACAGAAAATAGTCTAGCGGTGTTAAATCACAAGATCTTGGAGGCCAATTCACAGGTCCAAAACGTGAAATTAGGCGGTCACCCAACGTGTCTTTCAATAAATCGATTGTGGCACGAGCTGTGTGATATTTTGCGCCGTCTTGCTGGAACCACAACTCTAGGACATCATGATTGTTTAATTCAGGAATGAAAAAGTTAGTAATCATGGCTCTATACCGATCACCATTGACTGTAACGTTGTGGCCTTCATCGTTTTTGAAGAAGGATTCCACCAGCCCATAAAGCGCACCAAACAGTCAGTTTTTCTGGATGTAACGGTGTTTCGACATACACTTGTGGATTAGCTTCACTGCAAATGCGGCAGTTTTGTTTGTTGACGTAGCCATTCAACCAGAAGTGCGCTTCATCGCTAAACAAAATTCGCTTATGAAAATCGGGAACAACGGCAATCTCGTTTTGGGCCCATTCGACGAATGTACGCCTTGCTTTATCATATTTAAAATGTAATGCCACAAGATTATCTTTCAAATAAAAAAAAATGCATGTCAATCGAATAATACATCGTTGTTTTATTGCAATTTAAAGTTCTATACCTCTAAAAAAGACCCTATATATATACAGTATATTACATGTATATTACATATATGCATTACATGTTTATTACATGTATATATACATGCTTTTTCAATCGTTAATAAAGCACTTTTTATTCATCCACTCAAGTTTAAATACATTTTGTTAAATTTGTAGTGGATTACACTTGGTATTAATACAGTTTTTTCAAATATGATTTCTTTAATTAGGTAAACAATGAATGAATAGTAACAACGATACTACTTCAACAACATATATAAAAAGGAAAAATTCCCGTTGTGTCCCTGCAGCGCAATGGAGAGCGCGTTGGGCTTCTAATCTAATGATCGTGGGTTCGATTTCCACCTGGGATGGCCTGATTACTGCGAATGTATTTTTTTATGCTATTTATTGGAATAATTAAATTTAATTAGTGAATAAATATCAAAAAACAAAAATAATTATCCAACACCATATATAGAAAGAAAAATGGAAAATGGCGAGGAAATTCGCTTTTGATTTTGCCACTTAATATTGCAATTCTGTCATACGTATATACATATTTATATTAATTGTAATTATTTAATAGAAAGTAGCTAAAAAAACCTTTTCTTTCTTAACCCAAGAAGCAATTGACTTTATTTTCTTTATATTACTTGTTAATAATGAATTTTCCCTCTCAATTAGAATTTATTGGCTTTTTTTCTGCTACATGCGTTGAATGAAGTATGAAATTTATTACGAGGAAAAATATAAAAAAAAAGAAACTAAAGTTCAATGAATTGAAAATGAGTCAAAAACAAATATAATGGAATTTGCAATAAGTTCATTATTTACTATTAAACATTTATAGAAAAAAATGAATTGAATTCTAAGTAAATTCTCTGGAATTACGAATTATTTGTTGCAACTAATTGAAGTATCAGATTATGAGTGAGCTTTTATCAACGTCGCACAATTAAGCAACCAGAGAGCTATTGGTGACGGACCTCTTTTTTCTGAAACTCGGTCAAGTGACAAAGACGTCAACTGAGCTGGCACTATCCTCTCCTAACTACCACACCAAACTGAGGACAATGTACTTTGGTACCCTCTACACGGCGAATGTTCAGTGGCTGTAGGATCCGATCCCGCGATGCTGCGACCCCTAGTTCGTGACCATAACCACTAGGCTACCACGGCCACGAGTAATGGATTAATAATTGAAAACTAGTAAAATTCCTCTGGTAAAAAGTGATCGCAAAGATAGATTTTACTTACTAATTATTGATGAGCTCTATCTGTGTGTGTGTGTTGCCATTAATTTCCCATTCCAAGAACACCCCAAGGGGGTTTTTATTGATAAATTATTTGAAAAGTTTTTTTTTTATTTTTATTACAAAAACCACAATTGATCTTTTAATAATGAATAAAGCAAATGTTCAAGCAGTCAGTCATTTTTTTCTTTAAAAAAATATAATAATAGTTGAGTAAAAATGTGCTGCATATCAAAGCAAGTTTTCTAAAAAAAGAATAAAAAATAATCACATCTGGGAGAGAAAGACATTAAAAACACTGACCTAAATGACAAATGTGTAACAAAAACTCAGATAACGTGTATTATTAAGATCTCGAATTTGTAAATCTCTAGCGGTTAATACTAAGTTTATTTGAGTAAATTGAGTACAAAGGATTATTCATATTTTTGCCATATAAGAATCTCCCTTTCGTTAATATAATTAGCCAAATTGGATTAGTAACACCATAGAATTGAATTTCGCATTTTTTTAACTAAGAGACAGATTGCAATAAGCTTAACATTGATGTAATTATTTATTTTTGTCCTTTTAATCCTTTGATTAATGATGCTTATTTATTAAAACTGTCATATGCTCAATTAAAACTTTTTTCGTTTGTTGGTTCCTATTCTTCACTATAGGGGTATTCTATAAACTGTTCCTTAACGTTATTTTGGTTTCAAAACAAACTTGGAAATTATCATGACATAATAACCAGTCATAGAATGTGTAACAAAAGCATGGAATACTTCTTTTTGCCCGGTAAAGTACAATAACTCGACGTGGTACTGACGCAACTTGTTATCAGAAGTCCCTTAAAGAAATATTCGGCCATGCTATTTTTCAACCTTCCATAAATTGCGAAGCTGTTGTCATGCCAGATTTTGTGCATGGACAAACCTTTAAATCACATCCCATCTTGAGACTCATGTCTGGATATCCAGATAACCAAACCATTATCTGGAATATTTATCAAACTAATAGAGAATCAAATGGGCATGGTAATATGGTGCATTATCCTCTTGGAAGATTCCATACAATAAGTCCGTCATTGGATACAAATTATCTCTAAGTAGCTGAACATAAACCATATTCAGTAAATGATTGGTTTAATTTCATTAAAGAATCCAGTCCACATTTGATGTAAAGAACAGCCAACACTGTTAAGTAGCTACCATCAACTTTTGCTCGAATCGCCATGTTGAAAAATTGGGTCTTTGTCATCGTGACGACACACTCATATCCTATTGTCAAAGATTCAACCAATATTTTCTCCAGTACAGCAGAGGCACTGTAACCAATGGCTTTTTGTTATTTAAGACAATCGAGTGGATTTTTTGGTACCCTATGCTAGGAACATCAAATTTCGATTAGCTGTTCTTACGGACACGTCTGTTGTGCCATTGTTGCTATTATTTGACGCAGATGTAGCTTGTCTCAGAACACTGACACTACTCATCAAGGCGTTGCAGAGTTCAACCAACAAATTCAGAGAGTTGATAGTAGGCAGCATGGGCACGACAAATCACCATAGAATATGGGACCGTAAATCACGTTCAGTAGGTGAAAACGCGACGATAGAAGCAGTCGAGAAAATGATGAGCCAGACAGAATGGCCAAACGAGTGCGGCCACTTTTAGTACTGTACTAAGCTTGAAGAAGTCTGCTTTGTAGTCTAGTCTTTGATTGCTGTGTGTAAACACCTCCATGTTACATATTCCAGGAGGTGGAATTGGTGCGGCAGACCAGTTGCTTGGCGTTCACCCTCCCCAAACCTTAATCTCTTGGATTTCTTCTGGGACCACCTGAACTCATTGTTCATGAGACTACAGTGGAGAATCTCAAGGTAAGGTCGCTTCAATTGACATCGACAAAACATTGGATTTATTTGAACGCGCCCAACAATTCTACATCCTTCGGTGTCAACTGAGCTATGACCTACACGGCCGCATCTTCGAAGAATTCCTGAGACAATCAATTGTCGTTGCATTTCTGATGTCAAGCTGTGATACTTTGTTCCTAGTCTAAACATGCTTCACGTCAATAAATGTATTTCTTACCTCTTATTGACTCTTTTCATTCCATTCGACATCGAATTTTTCATAACTGTTTTTGTAAATTTCTCCGACTAAACGTAGTTTGCAACCCCATGTTATGTGGTGATCTATCGTTGCTATGCTGCTTGCTAACTCCTTTCTGAATTTCTCGGTCGAATGTACAAACACCTTGTATACAAGTAGATTTAGTTAACCACTGCGTTGTCCATGATGGTATGTAATTAATTAAATTATATTTTTCCCATCTTGTCACGTTTTTGATGTTGTGGATTGAGGAATCTTGAGCTTCCTTACGACTTCCGAAATAGAATTGTGATGAATCTATGCGCGTTTCTTCAATTAATTCTCTTGGGAAATCTTTGGAGCTATCAATTCGAGTTATTCACAACTAACCCTTCGTAAGAAGAGAATCGCGATATTTAAATTAACTTACTACATATAGTTGAAGTTTTCTAGCTTGAGAAGAGAGAAGGAGAGAAGATATACTCGAGTCAGGTGTGAATGCTACTGAAGGTATAATATTAGAATTATAGTGATTTAATTCTTATTAGGAGGAAACATTAAAGTGACGATTGTTCACAAGGGATGATCTGATATTAGACTAAATCGGATGATAGGTTTGATCCTTTATTAAGGTAAGGATCATGATTGATAGTCTTCTAATCGTTCACGTTTTACCGTCATTGTTCCACTTTCACAGTTAACATTGAGACATTATAATTCTATTATTTGTTGAAATTGTGTCTGTTCTTTGTGTTGTAAATAAATAGTTTAGTTGAAACATGCTGAGTGTTTCTCCCCTTTCCTTCACATATCTACCTAAGTCAGGAGCTATTTCCAAATCAAATAGTCTTGGAATCAAATACTTTGGTTTTAATTAAAATTCGCTTATAAGCAGAAAAGAGGAAGTAAAACTGATATTTTAAAATAGAAAATAACTATTCTGATTTAAGGTACCCGAGTACGTTCGGAACCGTGATTTTGCATAGCGCATAAATGGATAATTTTCATGATATTTAGTGTCACTTAGATTAGAATATATGCATAAAATTGTTTTAAGGACATTTTGACAAAAATATTTATATAAATATATTATATTGGCAAAAAATTAACTTAGAATAATCTTTTTTCCAAATCTCCTTTGGGGAAAAATACTTCTATTTTAATAATATTTTGCCTGTATATAGCTCAAACCTCTGTATGTAGAATTTTTGAAATATATAATTTAGAAGTGGGTTTATTCATATTTTACGACAACAGAGGGGAGCAATTTAAAAAAAAAACGCCAGTAATTATTTCTATTGGTGGTAACTGTGAAAATAATGTGAATTTTTCAAAACTCCTAGTTGAGCCTCTGTATAGAGGTGGGAGCTATATACAGGCAAAATATTATTATAATAGAACGATTTTTCACAAAAGGAGAACATTTGGAAAAAAGATTATTCTAAGTTAATTTCTTGCCAAAATATTAAATTTAAATATATAAACCTTTTTCGTCAAAATCTCCTTAAAACAATTTTATGCATGTATTCTAATCTGAGTGACACTAAATATCATGAAAATTATCCATTTATGCGCTTTTTTAAAACCACGGTTCCGAACGTAGTCGGATACCTTAAAAAGTTTGCTGGCACTATTCATTGTGCTCCTCTGCATTCATGTCTGAAGTACAATACAGACCATGAAACTCTTTTCTTAATGAAAAGTAATCATTTTTTGTGTGAAATCTGCTGCATTTTAAACGTAACTTTGTAGTAGATTAACGAGAATATGAATCGGAATTGTATTAATTTGTGTGTGGTATCTTTTACTAATAAAATATTATTTAAAAAATGACAAATTATTTGACTGATTCAATCATTTGGGATAGTATGAGTTGTACATGAAATTGCTTCTGTTTCATTATTATAAAGAACACACCATCATATATTAAATAAATATTTATTCAATATATCAAGTTTAATTATTATTTACATTACTATATATATATATATATATATATATATATATATATACTAAAAACTACACAACTTAATAACA